AATCAGAAAAGTGCTTGCACATCGATGTTTATTACGGCACTTTTCACGATTGCTAAGTCATGGAAACAACCCAAGTGCCCACAAATTGATGAATGGTTAGAAAAACTGTGGCACATATACTCAGTGGAATACTATTCATTCATAAAAAACAACAAAACCTTGGCCTTTGACAGGAAGTGGATGAATATGGAAGACTTACTGCTGAGTGAAGCAAGCCATGCTATGAAGGAGAAGCATTGTATGTCCCCACTTAATATATACCGAGTGTCTGCACTCTATGACTGAAACTAATTGTATAAATGATATAGAAACATAGTATATAGATGTAAATACCAGATATAATGTGTGTGAAAGAGGAGGGTCTGAGGAAGAACATTTGGGAGAGGGACAGCGAGGCAAAGCATTAATGGCACAGAGAGGTGTGGTATTATGTGTCGAAGATATTTCATAGTTTTTTTCAAAAGTACTAGGGAGAAATGTTCACCTGTTGAAATACCCATTTTGTAAGACAAAAAATAATGTGATTGAATGTATGGAAGAAAATGAAATAAAAAAAAAAAGAAAAAAATTTTAGAAACATAGTGATGTCCAAAATATACAGGGAACTCAAGCAGCATACCCTCAAAATATAATTCAATTAAAAGATGGGCAGTGAGCTCAATAGAGAACTCTCCAAGAAAGACAAATAAATGGCCAAAAAGCACATGAAAAAATGCTCAACATCTTTTTTCATCAAAAAGATTATAATCAAAACCACAATGAGATTCTACCTAACCACAGTCAGAATAGCTAAGATTTAAAAAGTAAAGAATGATAAATGCCGACAAGGCTATCATGAAAAGGGAACTTTCCTACACTGCTGGTTGGAGTATAATTTTTTTAAGAGAGTTTTTTGCTATAGGGCATGTGTGCTCTCCAGAGAGACAGAAACAGAGAGAGAGAAAGTGAGAAGTCACCCCCTAGGAGAGATGGCCATGACACAATCCTTTCTCTTCCATTCTTTTTTTTTTTTTTTTTGGAGAGATTTTTTCACTGTAGGGCGCGTGCGCTCGCCAGACAGACAGAGAGAGACA